GTGGTAAATGTGAACTTCTTGCAACTTCAGCAAAATCACGAAGTTTCTTGCTTAAGGAATAACATATTGAGAATGTAACACACCATGAACCAGTTAGGAAAGCAGATGAGTGTAGGCTAATATCCAACTTAGAGCCTGTTCGGCAACTCTCCACTCCTCCAGATTCTCAACTCTGCGACTCACTTCTGAACTCCCAACTCTATTAGCACGTTTCAGAATCTGGGAATACGTTCGGTTGTCAACAAAACTCAACTGAATTATGCATACATTGCTGGGAGGAACCTGACCAGAAAAAGCAGCTGAGGGCGGTGGTTTCGCTGAGGAATGAAGGAGCCCGTTGGTGCAGTAGCGGCGGGAGGAGAAGCGTCGGAGGCACGTGCGGCGGGAGGCGTCGGCGGTGCATTGGCGGCCGGATGCGTCGGCACAAGGAGCCTGTCAGCTATCGTCATTTACGCGGAGCTGCGAGCAGGTTTGGCGATGAGGGACAAGTAGCAGAGGGATGCGTCCATGCATCGGAGGGGATTCGATCAGGTGCAGCGGCGGCGGGAGGACGACGGCTAGAGTTCCCTGCAAGCGCTGAAAAGGGGGAGTCGGGGCAAGCAGGTGAGGTCCTGCGGGATCAGGCTAACTGCACCGCCGTCGCCACCGACGCATCAACGCCTCCCACCGCACGTGCCTCCGACGCTTCTCCTCCCACCACTACTGCACCAACAGGCTCCTTCATTCCTCAGCGAAACCACCGCCCTCAGCTGCTTTTTCAGGTCAGGTTCCTCCCAGCAATGTATGCATAATTCAGTTGAGTGGAGTTGACAACCGAACGTATTCCCAGATTCTGAAACGTGCTAATAGAGTTGGGAGTTCAGAAGTGAGGAGCAGAGTTGAGAATCTGGAGGAGTGGAGAGTTGCCGAACAGGCTCTTAAGCATGGTTGAAGTATGCTGGCTGCACTGGAGTCAGCTAGTGCTTAGTCTTGTTCTGTACCATGTAACTTTGTACAAGGAAAAGGTTTTCATACTCGTTGCAAACTTGCATCTACCAGGTACATTCCACGTGTCATTGTAATGAGATCCACTTATCAGAAATTCCTCTGTACCTCATCGGTTGACGCTAATCTGGTAATTCCAAGCCTCCCATAGTGATCAGCATCTGTAATTGCTGCAAGTATGGAAAGTTGCCCTTATATAAGAATAGTTTTCCAACAGACAAACTATGACATGGTATCCTCAACCTCAACTATTCCTGCGAAAACCATAGTAATTTAAATGCAGAAACCACAGAAAATAATTCTTGTCCTACTGGAATTAGGAACTATCCTTGCATCCAAACAGCACCTGAGTTCCCGAATACACACGATTGAGAGTTTGAGACTATATTGAACGATTAAGTTTTGAGATATAGGAAACATCAAGAAGGTTATGCTGTTAATTTGGTTTATTATCAACGCACAGTTGCTCCCAATTGTAAAAGGGGCAAACAAAGCTACACACCATATATCCAGATTTACTAGATCGAGTGCTAAATGAGTGCAATTACCTGGGCACAACTAGAACATTAAAAAAACATGACACTTAAATGTGCTAAACAATAACAGAAATTTAGCTAATGTTAAACAATTATTCGTTCATTTTAACTTTTCCTGTGTTTCAATCGTGTCTACATCAAATCACAAAATTTGAGATGTGAAATCCAATATTAAGAGCTTGCGAGAGATTAGCCAGAAACATTAGTAGGCGTTGTATATAACCGTATAAATCAAACAAGAAACGCGCACCAAGGCCGCGCATCGCCTTCTGCACGTTGGCGGCGGAGATGAGCGAGTAGGGAGGCCGCGTGGAAGTGGCAGCGCCGCCGGCGACGTCAGTTCCAGCGTCGGGATACCCATCCGCTGCCGCAGCCAGGTCCTCCGTGGCCGCGGCCCCGCCGTCGGCCGCAGCGGCACATCGCCCGCGGAACGACGCTGCTGTGAAGAATCGGGTAGGGACAAGATGGACTCGGCGGCGCGTGGACGAGGAACATACGGCGGCGGATACGGTGGCCGGCGCCGCCGGGGAGGTGACGCCAACGGCAGCCATGGGGAGTGGAGGAAGAGGAGCGCGGGAGATAAGGGAAGTGGGGATGGAAATAAAAGTTTCTTTAGCCTTTCCATTCTTTATCGGCTTTCAAGTTTCTCCTATTTTTTTCCAATTCAAAAAAGCTTTCTCCTTTTTTTACGGAGGTATTTCGAGTTTTTTCTACGGACGACTTTCAAGTTTGTCTAGTACGTTCTTTATTTTTGTCGAAAAAATTCAGATCAATTATCAATTTCATAAAAAAAATACTCCCTCCATTTCTAAATACAAGTCTTTTTAGAGATTCAAATATGGACTACATACGGGGCAAAATGGCTGAATCTCTTCCTAATAATAAAGCACAGATTGACTCCGCAGTACGTCTTTAAGTGTTCCAAACAGAAAAACGTTCTGTTTTTGCATAAACGCTCCTGTAGTTTCCGGTATTCAACGCTCAGTCATGTGTAAGTGTATTACGGATAAATAATTCTGCCGTGCTGAAACAAATATGCTGAAATTCGAACCCACGATGTGCCCTCTAAAATCTAGCGTGGTGAACCACTTGGCCAGCTCATTGTTTCTGATAAAAATACAGTTGTTGGCTTTACTTATATGGGTGTCGAACTAGCATACACCAATACGTTCCTATAAAAAGAAGAGAGTGCCCGTATATATTTAGTCCCACCTCGCCCCCTTCCACAAAATTCGACTAATTTAAATACATATGCGAGTTAAACTCAGTGAACCAACTCAAGAATCAATAAGAAATGCCTTTGAGAAGGAGAGACACGGGATTTGTGATGATTCATGTGGTGGTGGAATGAATGATAAGAAGTGGCCAAGAAGAAAATTGAAGAAATTATAATGGAAAGAGAGCCCGACTAATGCGGCGCTCATGCCGCTAAGATTTTTGAAAGTTGTTATGTGTTTTTAATCTCGGTCGGTCACATCTTTTTCATATTTAGACCAGGTGCTGCTTCTGGAGATGACCATCTTTTAAGAGTTAATTGTTTCTCTTCACAATGTCTCGCGCTGTCATAACAAGTGATATTGCCATTTTCCAATGCGGCTTCCTGAGAACGGTTGTATTTCATTAGGATGTGTTTATATGTACGTCAATGCCAAACTGTTTGAAAAAAATACAATCTTTCATAATAGTAGCATTGAATTAGGAAAAGTCCATCTCAAATTCTAAATTCTCTTGAAATATGTTCCACTTCATTTCTCTGAGGAAGTACGCTGCCTGCATCACTCTGCTTAGAAGCTACATAGTCAGGTTATGTTTAAGACGAGTTCAAACTTGTACATATTTTGTATACTTGGTTCATTTGACTAGGTTACAATTTGATGAATTCATACAATATTTTCTTTTCATATATAGATCCAATAATTTCTTACTTAATTCAAGACGTCTTACCCAAAAGGGCAAAAGGCATCTCAAGCCTTCGTACTCTTATTTGTCACCGTTGTAGGTTCCTATTTCACAGTTATCTTGGACAAATAAAGGTATCTTTCATACCATACAAAATGCGAGTTTTTCTAAGAAAGCAAGGAGAACATATAAAAATAATCTGGTACTATTCTTTGTCTTACTAGTGGCGTGTCTGGTGATCTTAGAACAACACGTTCTTAAAATGACCACTCTTTTTTACGTTATGAAACATTTTATGATTTGAAATCATGCATCTGCTTAAAAAAACACATTAGCATAAATATTTTTTTCTCCCGTTACAACGCACGGACTTTTTTGCTAGTCTACATTTAAAATACGTCTATATACATCCGTACGTAGTTCATATAGAAATCACTAAAAAGACTTATATTTAGGAACGGAGGGAGTATAAAGCACCTCAAACATAATAAAAGTCACATCGAGATTCTGAGAAAATCAAACAACCACTATTTGAGAAAAGGATCCAAATCTAATTATGAAAGCTCGTCAATAGCACAAATACCAGCTGCAGCCAAAAAGACAAGCAACTTGTGAACCACATGTTTTATGAATGATCCGCAAAAGGGGGAAACCCAAATGCAACCCCAGATTTTGAAACTATTTGAAAGTTGTTTTTCTTAAATTGCATGCAAATGATTATGTTTATACTACACCTATATTTGTCTTGTATATACCCTATAAAAAATCCTTAAAAAAGTTGTCCAATATCCCGTTCATGACGAAAGATGAACTCGGGTCGGATTCGTACTCGCGCAGAAAATAGATCCAAAAATCGATGCACTCATCGGAGGTTTCCCGGAGTTTGAAAGGTCCGATCGAGCTGAAATTTGAGGGGCAGCAGATCAACGGTTGGATCTTCCAAAGGACGTCCGAGCTAGACGCTGGACACCATGCTCCAAACTCGTCCAGATTTCTGTCCAGATTCGATAGGGCTCCGGTATATTGGACATCGACAGAGATTCCTCCATCGGAACGCGACGAAATTTTGCAGGGTTGTTGTAAACTCAATTTCCGCACAATTCCATTGAAGCAATCATCAAAGCGACACTCGAGTAGGCGGTGACGGCGGTTACAAGTTCGCTGTCCAGAAAAACAGCACGGTCGCCCGAGGGCAATGTTAACGTTGAGCCCCCGAGCTCCACGGATGATTCCTCCATGATCTTGATAGAGATAGGAGTTGATGTTGATGAAGGCCCTCGTCCGAACATGACGATCTGAGGTGGAGCGTAGTCCTCGGTCGAGCCAAGGTGACTAGTCGAGCCGGCAACGAAGATGCTGACATCGCAGTTGATCTACAGACGAGCCATTGATCCTTTGTTGATCTCACAGCAGAACTCTCAATGAAAGCACCATCGTGGGTGTCAAAACCGGAAGACCTCGGGGCAGGGGGTTGCGAGCTATGGATTTTCGGATCAATGGTAACAGGAACGAAGGGGAAGATGTTTTACCTAGGTTCGGGCCCTCTTATGGAGGTAAAACCCTACATCCTGCTCTTGTTTATATTGATGGAGTATCAAGTACATGGTTGATCTACCTCGAGATCGTATGTTGTGGTCTAAACCCTAATGGTATGATGGATGGATATCATAATCATCTATCGACTAGCCTAGCCTCGGCTTATATAATGTACTAGAGGCCTAGTATAACAAGAGTCCTAATCGAATATGTCGGTGGAGAGGAGTAATTCTCTTGATCACCAAGTCTTCTGGAATCTTCCTCGTGTATGTCATCGGTTGCCCGAAGTAGCCCATTAGTGAACAACCATGGGGGTCCTCGGCCCAATCCACCTGGTCGGAAGACAGAGTGGTGAGTACCCCCTAGTCCAGGACACCGTCACCTGCACAAACAAACAAATACTTACACCCAATGCGGTAAAGGGTTTGTCAATCCCTTCACGGTTACTTGCAAGGATGAGATCTAACAGAGATAGGTATAAAAGATAAATAAAAGTGCAAAAGGAAATAAAAGTAAATAAATTGCAGCAAGGTATTTTGTGTTTTTAGTCTTATAGATCTGAAAATAATATGATAAAAATATTACCCGGGGCCATAGTTTTCACTAGAAGCTTTTCTCTTGAAGAAAGCATACGGTGGGTAAACAAATTATTGTTGAGCAATTGATAGAAAAGCGCATAGTTATGAAGATATCTAAGGCAATGATCATGAATATATGCATCACGTCCGTGACAAGTAGACCGACTCCTGCCTGCATCTATTACTATTACTCCACACATTGAGCGCTATCCAGCATGCATCTAGTGTATTAAGTTAACAAGAACGGAGTAACATCTTAAGCAAGATGACATGATGTAGAGGGATAGGTCCAATCAATATGGTACAACCACCATCTTTTTACCCTTAATGGCAACAATACAAATACGTGCCTCGCTACTCCTTCTGTCACTGGGTGAGGACACCGCAAGATTGAACCCAAAACATAGCACCTCTCCCATTGCAAGATATATCAATATAGTTGGCCAAACCAAATCAATAGATCAGAGAGAAATACAAAGCTATCTTAATCATGCATAAAAGAGTTCAGAGAAGACTCAAATAATATCCATAGATAATCTGATCATAAATCCACAATTTATCAGATCTCAACAAACACATCGCAAAAGAAGATTACATCAAATAGAACTTCAAGAATATCGAGGAGAATATTGCATTGAAGATCAAAGAGAGAGAGAAGAAGCCATCTAGCTACTAGCTATGGACCCGTTGGTCTATGGTAAACTACTCACACATCATCGGAAGGGCATCAAGGTTGGTGTAGAGGCCCTCTGTGATCGAATCCCCCTCCGGTAGAGTATCGAAAAAGGCCCCAAGATGGGATCTCACGAGAACAGAAGCTTGCGGCGATGGAAAAGTACTTTTGGTGTGCCCTCTAGTATACGGGGAATATTAGGTATCTATGGAGCTGGAATTATGGTTGGAAGAGTCCCAGGGGCCCACAAGCTCATAGGGCGCCCCCTAGGGTGCGCCTGGTGAGCTTGTGGCTCACCCGTGGCTCTTCTGTCCTCCTCCCGAAGCTTCGTGGTTGTCTTCTGGTCCAAGAAAAATCGTCAAAAAATTTCGTTCCATTTGGTACTGATTTTCTATAAAAGACAAAAATAAGAAGAAAAACAACAACTGGCACTAGGAACTAGGTTAATAAGTTAGTCCCAAAAAGATATAAAATAGCATAATAATGCATATAAAACATCCAAGATGGATAATATAATAGCATGGAACAATAAAAAAATTATAGATACGTTGGAGATGTATCATACAACATCGTAAAGAGCTTGCAAGCAATGTGGCTAATGAGTTAGTCATGAGATCTTGTATTATGGAACGAGTAAAGAGACTTGCCGGTAATGAGATTGAACTAGGTATGAAGATACCGATGATCGAGTCTCGGGAAAGTAACATATCGTCGAACAAAGAGAATTGCATATGGGATTAACCGAATCCTTGACATCTTGGTTCAAACCGATAAAAGATCTTCGTGGAATATGTAGGAACTGTCGTGGTTCTAAGTCTGGCAGTAGAATGGGGGGGGTAGGAATGTAGAGGCAAGATCTTAGCTA